AGGCAGATAAACATTTTCTTAGCTCGCGTGGGAGGAACAAGAGGATGAGACTGGCAACTCCCTGAGGAATTCACACTGTTGTGGCTGGAGGGCTTTGGGGACTGGGGGTTTAGTCTGGGAAGAATCTTGCTTGAGGTTGTAGCTAATAACAATAGCTGGACTGCATTGGCATTGTCTCTTGGAGTTCCTTGGGCTAGGCCTGACAGGTGGTATGTAAACATAGTTTGTGGCAGTGCAATGTAAAACAAGATTAAACAAACCGTAGCTCGGTACAATGTGCAGATCAGCCCAGTGCCAACTTCCCTTTCTAACCATCCCGTGTTTTCCTCCTGCAGTGATGAACAACCTTTTCAGGTTCTGCATGCATGATTGCCCATGTGATACCTGTTTTTTAAATGGCCACAAATGGCCAAACTTTTGTGAGAGCTTACTGATTTTACCCCGAAATATCAAAACTTCGCAAGATTCACTCCTTTGGACTTTATCCCTAAGTAGAGAAGGAACTGGAAAAGAGGGAAGCATGTATTCCTGTCCAGGACTGGATCGTGCCAATGGCATCTTCTGTAAAGATTTATTTTTAGTTGTTTTTCTGAAGTTCTTATACCTATGAGGCAGGTCATTTAAATTACATAATACAGTGGTGCCTCGGGTCACGAATGCTTCTGTTCACGACCATTCGGGTCATGAACAGCTCCAGTCGCAAAATTTTGCCTCCGTTTGCGAACGCCGGATCAGGTCACGAACAGGATCCGCAGCCATTTTCCCTCCCGTGACGTGGTCCACGGCCATTTTCCGCCTCTGACACGTGGTCCGCGGCCATTTTTCTGCCCCTGACACGTGGTCCGTGGCCATTTTTACGCCCCTGACATGTGGTCCCCGGCCATTTTCCGCCCCTGACACGTGGTCGTAGGGAGGGGGACTCTCCCTCCAAGCAATAGCCGCCTCCCTGTCCTCCACACCAGAACGGATTAACGGTAATTACATTGAACCTTGTGGGAAAATTTGCTTCGGGTCGCGACCAATTCGGGTCACGACCAGAGTCATGGAATGAATTAAGTTCGTGAACCGAGGTTCCACTGTACTAGCTAAGTTGACTTATTATGGTAATGTGGGTTGTTTCATTCTGCCTTAATTCAACATGTGAACCCAGGCTTTGTGGTTTGTAAACCATGGCCTATAGTTTAGTATTATCTGTGCATCTGGCCACAATGCCTTGTCAACTAATTGTGGTTAAAGTAAACCATGGTTTAGCAAGATGCATGCAGATAAGAAAAAATATCCACATTTTGCTATTTATCTTTTAAGTATGCACAATAGGACCATGTTAAGTTAGACAACTCAGTTTCTGAATATTCAAATTTTGTCAGCAACATAAAATTCACAGAATGTAAGTGTCAAACTGTTAGATCCTTGTTTTGTTCCTTTTATTGCGCCTTTTTAAAGGATTTTCAATCGGTTTGCCAAAATGGTTGGTGATTATGACAGATTAGAATTCAATGCATACATTTCATTCTTAAAAAGTACAGGTAGTCCTCAGTTAACAACCACTCATTCAGTGACTCTTTGAAGTTACAATGGCGCTGAATGAGGGGTGGTTATGAGTGGTCCTTGAAGTTCTGGCCAACCCAGCACTCCCACAATCACATGATTGCAATCTGGGCAATTGGCAACCAGCTTGCACTTACCCACATACCCTCCCTGAGCTTTGCAGCACTCACACTGCACCTCCCTGGCCACTCACGCATTCTCCCCCACCCAGCAGTAGCCACCCCAAGCCTCATTGCACTTGCGTCATGCCTCCCCACCACTCTCACACCCTCGGCACCCTCTCCTACCCAGCAGCAGCCACCCCAAGCGGGTGGGGGAGACTTACTGGAGCAACTTGCAACTTCCCTGCCTGCTTCCCTGCTGACTTTGGTTGTTGGAAGCTGGCAGGAAGTTGCAAGGAGGTGCTCACTTAAAGACCCACAATCCTCAACATCAGCAACAGGGTCTGCAGGGATTGGCGTTGCTAAGTGATGCAATCATGTGACATCACACTTTACGATTGCATAGCTTAGTGATGGAAATTCCAGTCCCAATTGCCATTGTAACTCAAGGACTACCTGTACAGAAAAAAATTATTTTATAGTTAAATGTATTTGCTGTTTACAGTTGTTTCATATTTTTTTAGAGAGAGCTTACTTTTTGGAAAAAGAGCTATATTATATAGGAGTGCAAACTGAAGCCAGCAAGTAGAGAAAGTGAAGAGACCATTAGTGGTCCAATAACAAAAACCTTTGTTTCTAGTCACAGTGTTCACTTAAGAAAATTATTGATTATACTTTCATGAGATTAAAATCAAAAGATAGTTCTTGGTAATGATGTGCTAGAGGAGTTACTTCCTAAACTTCAAAGCCATTTTCTAAGCCATAAGAACGGCTCCCTACTTTTCAAGTATGGCCAAAGGCAGCTTGTACATTCTACGGATGTTTTCTAAAATTCAAAGAGGTCAATTATCTTAACCACAGGCTGTGAACTCTTCTCTCATCACATCAGGTAAGCCCTATTATTGACATTGTAAAATATTTAAGCGTACATCCTTAATTAGCAGGGATGGTATTTGAAAACATGTTTTACAAATGATTTCAAAGTTGTTGTTTTCTTGCTCCAAGTTCCAGCATTCTCTATAATTACACCAAAGGAAGAAAAATAATGTCATGTTTTCTTTTTCTCTTGTAGTGAGACAGCGTAAATAAATAAGTAAAAGTTGAAAATTTTCAAAATTTGTTAGAGTTTTTTGAGAGAGTCAACAGGCATGTGGATGATGGTAACCCTGTTGATATAGTATATTTGGATTTTCAAAAAGCCTTTGAAAAAGCCTCATCAAGGGCTCTTGAATAAACTTAGCAGTCGTGGAATAGGAGGACCTATTCTTTTATGGACTACAACTTGTTAATAAATAAAGAAAAGGAATAAATAGTTTTCTTAAAGTAGGAAAACTAAGTAATAGACTCCCATGTTGGAACCAGTGCTGAGGTGGTCAAGTTTGTGGCTGATCCTAAACTATTCAGGATGATAAAAACCAAATGTAATTAAAGAGAGCTCCATAAGGCTCTCTTTAAACAAGATAGTCAACCAAGTAAACTGAGATTCAGTTTAAGTAAGTGTACAATGATACACATTGGGGCAACAATCCCCAGCTTCACATATATATATTGGTAGGGTCCTCAACTATCTGTAATTAACCAGAAAAAATATGTTGGGGTTATAACGATTAACCTAATGAAGATGTTAACTCAGTGTATAGGCAACTGTGAAAAAGGCAAATTCCATGTCAGGGTACCTTCAGAAAGGGGTTGGTAATGAAACTGTCAATGCTGTAATACTCTTAGGCAAATCTGTGGTATCCTTGTTTCTGGAATACTACGTACAATTCTGGTGGCCACATTTAAAAAAGAAAATAATAGAAGTGCAGAAGAGGGCAAATGAAATGATTGGGGGCTTAAACACTTCCTCTCAAGAAACAGCTCCAACATTTGGAACGCTTGAGTCTAGAATAGGTCTGCACAACATATGATCTGGGGCTGCATGCAGCCTGCCAAGCAGCCCTGTGTGGCCCATCAGTATTTTTTGAAAACTCAAAAATTAAATCCATTGCTGCCAAATGCTTCCACCACCAGGAAGGACCCACTACTGCCAACACCCTGAAAGACACCCTGCCAAGTATCTCCAATGCCTCCAGGCCCCACTGACAGTCCATCCTTGCGGCCTCACCACGAAACAGCTGATTAGCACACCGGATATTCCCTTGGGGCTTGCGATTATTTTTAATTTCTCCTCTACGAATTGTGCAGGTCTGGTCTAGAAGAAAGGTGACTGAGGGGAGACATGATCAAAGTATATAAAATCATGCAAAGTATGGAGAAAGTGGACCTGATTTTTCTGTCTTCTGTCTGTCCAGGCTTGTGTATTCAGAAGTAAATTATACAATATTGAATACATAGAGTTGTACTCCTAATTGTATTTTTCTCATCAAAATAATACTCTGAGGAAAAGATACAACAATATGATTAAAATAAATAAGATATTTATTATATATTTTTATATACCCTTTAATGCAGGCTGAATACTTTTATGAGTTCCTCTCTTTGCGCTCTTTGGATAAAGGCATAATGGCTGACCCAACTGTAAACATCCCTCTACTTGGAATGATACCTCACCAAGCCTCAGGTCTGTAGCATCTGTCTTCATTTATGCATCCAATGTTGTTCATATAAAGGTAGGGTGAAAAAAAGTGATGAGTCCAAGTGCTGTTGGTGTGTGCATATGTGCATGCGTCCGTGCATGCATAATCTTCCAGTGGTGAAAGTGACCAAAGGCAAAGATGATAGGGTTGAAGCAACATTCCTTACTTTCTCTCACCTCCAGCATCCTTAGCTCACTTGGATTCTGCACTGTGCAATGAAGAAAGAAGCCTCAGATTCTGCATGGAGCAAAGAAATCTAGTGAGAGGGTACTGCATCCCCCACTGGCTCTGCAGCCCTGTGTTTCCTACTTCTCAGCTGCTTCCTATGGGTCAGCTCACCATGATGGTGCAGAGATCATGGGAAATTGAAATCTCTCCTGCAATTTCTCTACCTTAGTTCAACCAGTCCAAGAGAAACCATCAAGAAGTAGAAGAAAATGAGCAAGACTTGGGAAGAGGCCAGCAGTTCTGATGGGGAAGCTTAGTCACTAAAATATAGTTTCTGGACTGGAGGCTTCCTGCTGTTGTAGAAAAATACATGCAATGAATAGGTTAAAAGGACATTGCATTACAAACCTGGTTGTTGTAGACAGATAAACATTCCACAGTATTCAACACTGGTTCTGTGGAAATAATGTCTAAAACCTGCAAGCAATTCCCTCCTGCAATACCTAATCAATAGCTTTTTGAAACACTTTCTCTATAAATCCAGCCTCATTCGTCTTTCTAATTGATGCAAGTCTAGTAGAACATTGCAGGCATAGAATATAGGTATGTAAAATGTGGTTCCCATTCAGAATGCTTACAAAGGACTTACTATTTTATATCTTCAGCATCTGCATAGCAGTAGCCAAATCACAGCTGGTAGTACAACTCCTAATCAGTGGACATTGACTGTAATAGAGCAAAGCTATTGTCACAGTGTTTACACTGACCGGAGGCTAGATTAGACTCAAAATTAATAATGAAGGACATAATAACAAGTGCCAAAATATCTTAAGTTATGAAATAAGTATTTTATAGTTCCTTTGGTAGGCTATACATTTCTTCATATGCATTTAAGTGAAAAGTTGATTGAAACTACTAGTACAAAGCAAAAATGTCTGTAAATTGAGCTCTCCCAGAAACTTTCACAATTGTCTGGTCACTTCTAGCCTGTAGAAGAACTGAGCCACTAGGAACATGAGTTGGGGCCTTTTCTGGATTCTGCATACTAGAATTAGAAGGAACATTTCTAAACATTACACTACCTGAAAATCTGTCTATCTGACTGTATCTATCATCTGTCTATTTGTCTGTCTGTCTGTCTGTCTGTCTGTCTGTCTGTCTGTCTGTCTGTCTGTCTGTCTATCTATCTATCTATCTATCTATCTATCTATCTATCTATCATATATCTCAACTTATTAAAGGGGGGATGTGTTAAATTATCTGAAATAATTACTTGTTAAATTATGTGAAATAATTGTTAAATTATCTGAAATAATCCCTTCTGTTTTAAGGTCTTTTAGGTTGATATATGTGTCCTACAACATATTTTGTGACATGGAGGTTTTCTTTGTGATCAGCATTTTGTTTTTCTATCAAGTTACATGATTGTTTTCTGTTGATGGCTGTGATTAACACAAGAAAGGACAAGACAAGATATTTCAGTCAAGAATATCAATGGAATATGTATTAATCACAGGGCACTAACATTGTATAATAGTACAATCTTCTAATATTCTTAAATAAGGCTAACATTAAAAAAAATCCCCAGTGAATTTCTCTGAATTTTCCTTGGCTTAGGTGGATCATTTACTAGGTTCTGGTCTTTCATACATTTTCCATTATAGTCATTGTGATCTGGAAGCTCTGCATAAATCAGAAATGACCCCAAGTCCAGAAATGTCAGTATGGCCTACATTAGATGGATGAAAGAAGATTCAGCCATCTAATGTAGAAAGAAGGGAGGGGAAAATAAACAATTATTGAAAAACTGGGTTTTGTTTGAACTTCTGGTTTCTGTGCTTTTAGAAACACAGAAGAGGGTGATTATGTGTCAGAAATCATGTTCTGTGAGGAGCAGATGAAAAAGTCAGAAAAGCTTATTTTGAAGGAAAAAGTGGTGATAGGAAGACATAATGTAGTCCTCATATCTATCTCTAAATACAGAGAATTGATCAGATTTGTTTTCTGTTGTTCCAGATGGCAAGATGAAAACCATACCATAACACAATCCTTCCCGCAGCAGCCTTTTCAGATAAATTGCCATTATCAATAGTCTGGGGATTTTAGTCCCAAACATCACAGAAATGTAATTCAAACTAATAAGTAAATAAACAAAATACTGATTTGTTGGTGACTTTGGGTGAGTCACTCTCTCTCTCAGCCCAACCCACTTCACAGGGTTGTTGTGGAGAAAATAGAAGGCATATTACGTATGTTCATCGCCTTGAGTTACATATAAAAGAAGGTGGAATAAATATATATCTTGTTTGCAAATGTTATTACAGGTGCCTGCAATAACTTCTTTGAATCAAATTATCTGATAATTTGGTAACAATGAAAGCCTTTGTAACTTTTATTATCTATGCATCTTATGTTCCACATCTGAAAAGAATGAGAGGAGGAATGCTGGGACTGCATCACTAAAAGTATTGTGCCGTGAAATACTCTAATATTAATCAAGCAAAAGATATGGAAACATCCAGTTCTGAACCCAACAAAACAGTCAGCAAAATTGGCCCTTCATTTGGTAGAGGGAGCTGCAGCCTCAGTCTATAGATGTTGAAGGTCTGTATGTAGCACTGAGATGCTGAAAGGCAGAATGATGTCCTCACTTCCAACCTAGCCTGCTGTCCTCAGATGAAAAGGAGGATACTGACTCTTGCCTTGTCAGTGTTGAAATAATATACAACTAGCAGTCCAGTTGGCTTCTGGACTAGTAATATCTTGTATCTTTTTCAAGATCATATAGAAGGCAGTGACATTTAGTGAGCTACTTAGAAATGCATCTCTGTACCTCAAAATGAACTTCCAAGGTATAACTCATTGGAACTGATCAACCTGAAATAATATAGCCAAATAAGTAAGCTTTTATTTTGCTGTGAGTGGGAAGAGAAGAGTAGCCAAGGATGGAAAGGGTATCAAAACAATATAAAAGTGAGAATTTGCTAAGAATGTTTTACTCCATAAATTTTGAGCCAAAGAAAACTGATGTAGAATGGCTAGCAAAAGCTTCTGCAATGAAGACTCCATATGTTCTATATGGTGCCATCTTTGTAATAACTTAAAATGCCACAAGGTGTTATTGTTTTTGCTTTATATTAACAAGCACTTTGGAAAAGGCTACTTTTGTTTGTTGTTTGTCCACGACTAACTGGTCTCAGTGACATCCATACACTAATATCACTATTATGTGTATATGTAAGTACAATAACCTGGATGGGACTATGGTAGACAGCAAGGTTCCTGATACCAACCTAAAGGGACCTTCACCACCCTGATGCCTTCCAGAATTAGGAGAACAGCTGCAACTCCCAGAATACTGACTATCATGTCTGTTGGCTGAGAATTATGAAAGCTGAAAGAGCCCCAACATGTCTGAAGGGCACCCAGTTCAAGAGGACAATCTTATAATTGATTTTTAATGAGATATGACCCTTTACAAGGAAAAATGTAGCATTTACTCCTGTAACTGATTTGTACTGTATATCTCAATCTATTATTTAATTCCCAATATATATTCAACTACATATTTTAACATTTATTACAATATTTACATATTGCTGACTCCACAAACATCCCAGTAGTTCACAATATCTCCATATAAAATCAATAAAACAACTATATATATATATATA